TCTGTCCGTTCGTTCCGAGTCATATTTCAGAACCCTGTGAACCAAATCTGTTCATACTTTATCTTGGACATGTGCACATGCAGTGGTTTACTTGCTTCAATCCAAGATGGCTCACTGACAGCCATTACTATAAACAAAAAACTATATATCTTAAATTTGGGACTGTGCCTTGCATGGCTTGTTGTTTTTAGTGCTATCAGAAACAAACTATTTATTATTCATAAGTATGCAACTATCTTGTTGACAATAATTGAAACTATTGATAGTACCTACTTACTAACTTTATTTTTGTTTTTAGTGCTATCAGAAACAAACTATTTATTATTCATAAGCTTTTGAACCAAATAAATTTAATAAAAGTTCTGAGGAAAGGCATGTATAGTTTCATTATGTTTGATTTTAGATTCCTGAGGATGTGAAGCCTGGAAACATGACTGAGGATGAGGTTAGACGACGAGTAGAAAGCTACAATTCTAAGTCAAATGGTTTGGTCATTACAATGGTAAGTGAAATTACAATTATAATTTAAATCCTTGTACAAATAAGGCTTTTAAATTACGTGTCATTCCAGTTATGTATAAACTCATTATAAATAGATATAAATTAGAAGATTGATTGCAATTTCATTTATATCTATAACTGGAAAATGAATGTAAATGTAAAATACTTTATTTTTTGCTGGAATTAATTTTCGCTGAATAGAATTTTTGGCTGTTTTGTGAAGAATTTATTTCCACTGGATTTTATTTCCACTGAATCTTTCCTTCTGCAAAAAATAAATTTGAAGCGAAAATAAAGTATTCTACAGTATTTTTTTTCCACAGAGAGTTTTTGGCTGTTTTGTAAAGAATTTATTTCCACTGGTTTTTGATATAAAATATAGGAAAAGGGTCTATTTGCTAGATTTCATTTTCACTGAATCATTCCTTCAGCGAAAAATAAATTTGAAGCAAAAATAAAGTATTCTACAGTAGTTTTTTTCACAGAGTTATAAATATAAATGCCATCATATTTTCAATTGGTAATGCACTTAAAGTAAAATTGTAATAATTGTTGAATCATTACAATATGACTTAAATGACTAATGTGCTCATGTACATACCATAGTCATTTATGTACGAAAATGCACTACTAATACGATAATGTGGGAAGGGGAGGGAAGCTGCCAGGAAGTACGATTGCCTTGTTTTGTAGCAGTCAAAATCAGATTCTGTCATGGCATTAAGATTCTGACAATGCCTTTTCTCACTGTTTTTACTGATTAGTTAAGAATCTTACTTCCACATAGTAACTAATATGATGTATTTTTACCCTATAATTTAATTTTGTCCATGAGTCATTCTGATACTAAAACTACCAAACAGACCTGAGAAAAAAGATAAAAACAATAACATATTATAAAGGGATATTATAATGTCAACAAAATCTTCCATAAATCTACTATTTAAAATGCTGACAACAAGAAATTTTAACTAGAGTTTCTCCAATGTTTTGACCCAGCTTACACAAAACAGTTGCCACTTTGGCCTACGAGAAAAAACTCAGATCAATGTTTTCAATAGAAACAAGTGTACATCTTTTTTTTAAAGTTAAATTTAGAAAGTTAAATCTTGAAATTATTACTCTCATGGAAATAATAGATGGTTCACCAAATCAACAATGTAGCCAGGTGATTGGCTAACGATGTAACATTTTAGAATTTGTTATTCACCATACAACTTCCCTCTCTGTTGTTCTTCGTTAAATGTACTCAAACCTGGTGGTGTTCCCTCCATTACTTCTCTGACAATTCTGGGGTATTGGACCTCAGGAACAGTTTGTGAACACCACCTTAGATGAGGTCTGACAACATAAAAGTTGATCTTTTGTAAATGATCTGAAAATGGCAACTTTCTCTGTGCCTTTTTTCCTTTGTTGCCAAATACAATGTATACTTGCAAAGTTTTGCAATAGTCTAAAAAAAAATGAAGTTATTGTTTTTTTTCTCACATGGTTTCATTTAAGAGTCGATAAAATTTATTATCAAATCCTGGATCTGAAATTTAATGCTTGAGTGTGCCTCTTGGAGTAAATAAGTCGTGCCTTTCTTTTAAACCAAATAGACAAACTGTATTTGCTCTATTAGTGTGTGCACTAATGTATTTCTATGGTCAAAAAAAGCAATATTTTAATGATTCTGTGTACTACAACAATGTGCTTCTAATAGAGCAGTTATCAGCTTAAAGTTGACTTCAGTGTTTTTGATATCTCTCTCCCTATTTGACTATTATATATGAACTAATTTGTCTTTTCTTGTATATACATGTAGTTGCCTACCGGGTAATTTACTATTTATATTTTTTATTTTCTGCAGGATGAAAATGGCGATACATTTCGTGGTTTTGTTCGTGTACACATGAATTTATCTCGGCCTATCAATGTTATGGCTGGAACAAGACCAGCTTCTGTATTTGGTGTAATAGACCAACAAGATCTTAAATCTAAAAAAACGTCTTTCTTTCTACCCAAAGGCACAGTAAAAGTGAGTACCCCGGTATTTAAAATCTGTATGGTAAATTACTGACTTTTCTATCAATGAATCACTATAATCTGTGTTGTACATAAACAAATTCATGTAAGACATTGACACATGCGTCAAGACGACTCTAGCACTTTAAAATGGAGTTTCTATAAATAAATCTTTTTATGTGATTCATGGTTGCCTAGTCTGTTTCAAATTTCATATTATTTTACTTGGAGAATACAGATAAACCATTGGAGTACTCATCTCATGTATTTATTTATTCAGGATTTATTATTGTCAAAGTCCAGCTTATTAATCAAAATGTCATTACCAAAGTTAGAAAGAATAACTCATGTGTCCTTCTCTCTGTAGTTATTACATATTACAAGTGACACAACATCACAGGAAGTTATTGTAGCTTTACTCAATAAATTTAAAGTT